AGGGCCGGGCCGGCCCGGGTCGGCCCGGATGGACACGCCTAATTATAGCATGCAGATAAATCCGAAAAATAAACAATTAAAACTAGCCTGATCGGGAGCAGTCGTATATTTAGTGCCCTAGAAGATTAAGAACCCGCTTATCGCCCTGACGCAGATGGTTCCCTCCCCCCTAGCGGTAAAAGCCCCCGGAAACGGCCGGCCTCTGCACTCGGGCGAGAGTGCAGAGCTTCAGCTCAGATGAAGGAAGTTGCCCATAAAATAAAACTAAGATGTAGATGAAAATAATATTTAGGGAAGAGAAGAAAAACAAGAGAAACTTGTTGTATATTTTTTCTTTATCATTTTGAGCTCAACATACGGATATATATATAGGGTTGGTAAAGACGTTACAAAACCCATAATTAATTCCGTAACGTTCGTCATAAATTTTATAACGTTCCCCATAATTATATAGTCGTTACACATATTTTTAATTGCTAATTAAAACATGTTTTAATTATAGTTCCCCATAATTATATAGTCGTTACACATATTTTTAATTGCTAATTAAAACATGTTTTAATTATAAAATTTTATTACTATTGCTAATTAAAACATGTTTTAATTATAAAATTTTATTACTATTCATGAAGGCAAAATTGTCTTTTCTTAACGAAATATCTAACAGTCCCCCCCAAAAGGCAATATTGACTGAAGACTCAGAAATCAATAAATCAAGAAATCATAAAACAAATATAGCTTGGGCAACCTTACGTATCATGAATTCGGGAGAGGTAGCTTTCGGCTTTGAACATTTCCTTAGTGAGTTCATCGCCACTTGAGGGATATAATGGACTAAGCCTTGAATTAGGCCCCTTGAATTAGGTATTGATAAAAACACACACAATACGTCTTCATCTATTGAGCAAAGCGGGTTGAGCGTTAAAGGCCATGCTCACAATAAACCGACTCATGAGAGTTTCTAGGGATTAGCCCAGCCCCCTCTTACCACGGCCATCACGGTTCCTCTCACGTAGGTAAGTCCTCAAATGATACTACAGCTGTTTATTTAATACCCCCCGGCCATCACGGTTCCTCTCACGTAGGTAAGTCCTCAAATGATACTACAGCTGTTTATTTAATACCCCCCCATAATACACACGTTGGACTTATTAAGAGTAAAACTCAGCCTAGCCAGCTGTATCATAAGAGCATCGTCATCATAGAGAAGGGGTAGTAGCACAAGCTACATAGTGATATATGAATATATCTGGGTCGATGCTCCACACGAGTGTCACTAGTCCAACTTGTTTCAACCACATTGAACCAACATTAGAACTACGTCTCCAAATAAGGGTTGGGTTGCCGCTGTCGGTGACCTCATCTATGGGCTTAACCCCATCTCCCTCGATGAATCAGAATCACACTCCTAGATAGACCCTTTGTCAAAGGGTCAACAATATTCTTTTTACAGACTTTACAAAGTCTAGAATCACAACTTTACCTAGCAGACATTGTATTTATTTATCAAGTTCTTATTTTGGAATTAGTCCATCATATTGTTTGAAATTGACATTAGGTCATGGTCTATGATCATAAAAGATCATAGTCTATGTCTGAAGATGTAAACACATAGTGTTCGTGCAGATTAGGATTTGACCTTAATATCTGAATATTTCAAACTAATGTGGAACTAAAATTCTGCAATTATGCATATGCACATACATAAATTAATAATAGATACATGCAGAGCATTCAAGAGAACAGTATATTTCATACTTCATAATTCATATGCATAAATTTTTTAAAATTCTTCTATTATAAGAGGTTACAAATTGGTTGCCTACAAAGGAGACCTTCCAAATTTAAATCGGTTGCCTACAAATGAGACCTTCCAAATTTAAATTGGTTGTCTACAAAAGAGACCTTCCAAATTTATGTTACCATTTTCTAGTACCACCTCTTATACAAATAATAATAATAATAATATTTGTACATACGTGCTTTAAATTTTACAAGTGCATTCTTGCATAAAACCTTATAATTAATCATATAACAAATGCAAGTTATCTAAAAGGACATATGAACATTTATTGCAATATCCATCATAACGCAATAAAAGAGATGAACTTTACATTTGAAGATTTGAAATATAATCCACCATATAAAATAGAATTTTAAAAGATGCACCTCTTTGATTTGGTTCGCTCATATATTGATCATTTATCATTAGGCAATATATGATGCAAGAAGCGTAATTAAATAAATGCATATGAATTTTTTCTCATAATTCTGGTTCCTCTTATTCCTAACCAAAAACCCCTTAAGTGAAAAGATTAAAGTTTTACCCGGGTAGTTAGGCAGGTAAGGATAGTACTAGAGGTTGATCAACGATCAATTAAGTACCTTGTTCCTTACAGAGTGCGTTACGCAACCCCTAAACCTTACCTTAGACACCAACTAATTTAAGAAAACTTGAATCGGTTCACTCAATGAGTTTTTGTTCCTTAACGGTATATAGAAACTTTAAAATATTTCCTGCAAGCATTTAATTTGCCTAGCAATTATACTGCAAACAAATGTTGGATAAGGCCGAGGAGGGTTTTACCTTTTGATGTTCGAACCTCATGATTTACATGTTGTGAGAGTAAAAATTTGTTTTGTGGGGTCTGTCAGAACGACTCCGGCTCGCCCCAGCAAGCTTAGAACATCAAGGCTGAGAACGATTTAATTTGTGGAAGAGCTTGAACTTCAGACTCGTGAGGTACTGGAAGGCAAAGAGCCCACTTGCAACATCTTAAAACAACAATTAAAGCAATAAAAGCAATTAAAACAATTAATTACAATTAATTGTAAGTAACTGTTAGAATTAATTAGTACTAATTATTACAACTTAATTAACAACAATTAATTAAATTTAACAGAAATATTTAATTATAATTTATGTGTGAACAGTAACCAAAATTGTTTTTTTATTTAACAAAAGGTTAATTAATAGATAAGCAATTTAGTAGCAATTTTTTTTAATTTTTTTTGAGCAGTAAAATTTTAAATGAACAGTAAATACACAATTACCATGATTTTTATGAACAGTAATTTTCAGGGTGAACAGTAGCCGAAAAAAATATATTTTTTAAGCAATGTCAACAGCAGATATATAAATAGATCTAAATCAATAGTAATAGAAAAGATGAATTTTTTTTTCTTGGATGAACAGTAGACTATTCCAATGAACAGTACCTTTAAAAATATTTTTTTCGGATTTAAATCAAAAGCTATAAACTTCTCAATCTTCTAGATTGTTGGAAATTTATCAAATAATTAAAATTATAGTATGAAATAAATCCGAATAAAATAAACAATTAAATCTGGCCTGACGGGAGCAGTCGTGTATTCACTGTCCTAGAAGATTGAGAACCCGCCTATCGCCCTGACGCAAATGGTTCTCTCCCCCTAGCGATAAAAGCCCCCGAAAACGGTCGATCTCCGTACTCGGGCGAAAGTACAGAGCTTCAGCTTAATTAGATGAAGAAGATTGCTCAAAAAATTAATAACAAAATTTATAGAGGGGAAAAACAATTTTCTTTAAACCAGAGGAGAGGAGAAAACCTAATAACAAAATTTATAGAGGGGAAAAACAATTTTCTTTAAACCAGAGGAGAGGAGAAAACCTTTATTTTCTTATCTTTTAGAATGTGAAAACAATTTTCTTTAAACCAGAGGAGAGGAGAAAACCTTTATTTTCTTATCTTTTAGAATGTGAATAATGGTGTATTTATAGGGTTGAGGGAGAGAGGATTCTTTTCAATTTTCCGATGTGTGACTAAAACACAAAGGCAAAATTGTCTTTTCTTAATAAATATCCAACAAATCTATTCTATCACAACCCACACATTTATTCTTAATACTGTACAATGTGATATATAGGTGAAAACATATATTATAGAGAAAATAACAATAAATTTAATTTTTATTGATAGTGATGATTAAATTCGTTGCACTCTCATAATACATTTTTTACCTCTTAAGACTATATCCATTAATGATATAACTAAACTAGGCAAGAAGAGTTAATTGAAATCTTACCACTTGTTCTTGCAACATAAGTAAGCCTTCAGCCAATTTTTTTTCAAACAATATGACTCTAGCTGTTAAATTAGTTTATTGTCCAAATTTTAGATTATGTAGGTTTTAAATCAAATTTGCTATATTATTTTACCGTATCATAAACAGTAAATCAAATTTGCTCATACATACTTAAAGTTAATATTCATGCTACAAATAATTTACTATATCATAAACAGTAAAACAAATCAAATATATTAAAACTTGGATCCTTATTTAAATATAGAAAAGTAGGCATTATTTCTAAATCAAATGTATTAAAACTTGGAGCATTCTTTAAGTATAGAGGAGTAAATATGATATCTAATTTTAATCATATATATAATTAAACTAAATGTATTAAAACTTAGAGGAATGCAAGTTTAAAATGCAGTGTTTAAAAAAAGATGGGTCGTGCTTTTGCACAGGGTGCGTAACAGTAAATTTTCTATTATTTCCAAAGTATGAGGTCTAATATGCTAATCAACAATACTTGTAATAACGTGAAAAATAAAGTACAAAACTGTAAATTGTTACCAGACACGTAGACAAGAAATATCTAAATTAACACCAAAACGCCAGGACAAAATCCAATTGCAAACAGCAACCTTATCCTAAATCACTCCGCCAGCCACGTCAGCTCGCGGCCCCTACTCCCACCTACCCACGTGCTTCCACCAGCTACTCCCGGTCACCCGGTCACGGATTGGGATCCTCTCCTAAGGAACAGTGGTTCCTAACATTTCCTAATGGATCTCAACCATTGATTACATAGGACCACCTTGTTTTTTGTGTCCAAACACAAAATCAATGGTCGAGATCCATTAGGAAATGTTAGGAACCACTGTTCCTTAGGAGAGGATCCCAATCCCCCGGTCACACCCTCCCACTCTAAGAACGCGGAGGCGGAGCGAAGCAGAGCATTTTATTCGGTTTCCTCCTCCTCCCCTCTCCTCCATCTATAAATACACCCTTCCGATATGGTGCCCTCTTTTTCCCTTCTTCGTCCTTTTCTTCTTCCTTTTGTAAATCCGTCGCCTCTCTCTCCGATCCCCCGAGATCTCCGCTGCTATCGACGAGATCGGCTCTGCTCACATCAGATCTCTAGGGTTCGCTCTCTCTGCGTCTAATTTCCCCCCCATTTTTTCAGAATTTTGCGGTGGTTTCTCGTTATATGTGCTGCTTTCTCTAGATTTGATGCAATTTTGGTTGATTTTGGAGGAGATCAGGCTGAATCTCGATCTGAGATCTGATCGAACCTTTTCCGATTTAATAAGATTCCTTTGAATGGAGGAATCGACGATTATTCTAATGCAATTTTAATTATAATTTGTACGAATCTCGACGAATTAATGTTAGATCTGATAGAATTAAAAAAAAAAAATCGGTTGTTGACCACCGTCTCCTGAGTATTTTATTTGTGACTTTTTTCCCTCGATCTGATTTGATCGTTGGATGCAGATCGCAGAGCTGTAGTAAATGGGCGAAATGATGGAGAGTAATGGCCGACCGAGCATTTTGAAGATAGAGTCGAGCTCATCCTTCCTCGAGGATGACCTCGATTTCTCTCGTCTCTATGTGAAGCCGAGGATGGAGAGGCAGAGGTCGTTCGACGAGAGGTCGCTCAGCGAGCTCTCGATCGGGCCGAACCTTCGAGCGGTGGACAGCTATGATGCACTGTACTCGCCTGGAGCGATGCGGTCAGCTCTGGATACGCCGAACTCCTCGTCTGCGAGGACTTCGTTTGAGCCGCATCCGATGGTTGCTGATGCTTGGGAGGCGCTCAGGAGGTCGATGGTGTACTTTAGGGGGCAGCCGGTGGGGACGATTGCTGCTTATGATCACGCTTCGGAGGAGGTCTTGAATTATGATCAGGTGGTTCCCATTGCCTTCAGCTGAAATTTTAAATAATTATATGCTTTGATCATCGACAAAGAGAGTGAGGTGGAACATGTTTAAAGTGCTCAAGTGAACCTATCCCCTTTAATATCTGAAGGCAGCCGTTTTGTGTTTATTTCTTTGATGGTTTTTGGCTTATCAACATGGTATTGTTTTATGGCTTTGTTGATCTATAATTTAAATAATCAAGATGCATTGATTTCAGACAGAGAGTGTGAAATTGGAAATGGAATCGTGTTTAAAGTGTTTCAACGAGGATATCCTGTTTTAATATCTTAAAGCAGTAGCTTTGCATTTGTTTGCAGTGAAGTAGATGATCGTTTTTATGTTTGTATGCCAGTTGTTTGTTTCTTCTTTGGTAATTTTGTATCTTCTTAAATTATACAATTATGGTCTTGCTTGTTGGTAAATCAACAGATAGATATAAATCAATGGATGAATAATTAGAAACATTGGTTGTGTTTCAATGAGTCTGTCTTCTTTTAAAACCTGAGAGCAGTGGTTTGCGCTCATTTATGTTGATGACTATGGTATTTTCCATGCACGTCTAGTTGTTTGTTTCTGCTTTGGTAATTTGGTCCCTTCCTAACCTATACAATTATGGTCTTGCTTGTTAGTAAAGCAAGAGATTAATATAAATCAATACATTAATAATTAAATACATTGATTATTGATGAAGAGTGAAAATGGAATGTGATAATGCTTAAAGTGCTTCAATGGACCTGTCCTTTTTTAATATCTGAAACGGTAGTTTTCATTTATGCTGATGAATATTGTCTTTTCTATGTTTTGCATGGCCAGTATTGTTGCTTCTTTGGTAATTTTCGTATCTTCGTGAGTTACGGTCTTGTTTGTTGATAAGTCAATATATAGGTATAAAAGTGAACATATTATGCAAATTGAGATTTTATTTTATTTTAAGCGGAAAATCTCACTTGATGTATGCTTTATAAAGCTTTTGGATTTTTCTCCCATCACTTTTTGGTTTTTATTCGTCCCATCTTTGACTGATTTTGTACATATATCAGTTTTTCTTCCGTAAATCTTCCCATGACAAACTAACACACAGACACACACAATAAAATGGGGAAAAAACTCTCATCAACTTTTCCTAAGAAGAGTAATGGATACCTGTATATCATGTTGAAGGAAAAATAAGACTGAATCATCTCAGTCTGAAGTTCTTGTGTGACCTTTGAATCTTTATGTGAAGCCTTGTTGTCCACTCTCTAAATTTTTGTCGTATCTTTCTCAATTTTGTTGTGGTCTCAGGTGAACATCCTTATCTCTAGGGATAACTTTCTGAAAGTGTCCATTTCTTAAATCTCACTCACTTTTTTTTGTGTCCGTCTAGAATGGAGTAGAGGTCATTTACCTTTTGTTTGGTTGTTGATCTTGCAATTGTAAGTTCTTCTTTGTTCTCTTGATGGAGGATCCTACCTTTATGTGAAACTTCTCATGTTTTTAGTAACCTACTGGAGAATTCTACAACAAATCTTTTATCCCGAATTTTGGGGGCCAGCTGCATATATCCTCTTCTTTCATTCAGTTATTATTTACAACTTTGTATGAATTTGGGATAGAAAAGTTATTTCACTAAGATTTATATTTTAACATTAACAATTACAATACTGAAACTTGGTCTTGATCCTGTTTTCTATATGACAGGTGTTTGTCCGTGATTTTTTTCCAAGTGCGCTGGCTTTCCTGATGAATGGTGAATATGATATAGTTAAGAACTTTCTGCTAAAAACTGTCCACCTTCAAGGATGGGAAAAGAAGATAGATCGCTTCAAGCTTGGGGAGGGAGTCATGCCAGCAAGCTTCAAGGTGCTTCATGATCCTATTCGTAAAACTGATACTTTAGTTGCAGATTTTGGTGAAAGTGCAATTGGTAGGGTGGCTCCTGTCGACTCTGGTTTCTGGTGGATTATTCTTCTTCGTGCATATACAAAGTCTACTGGGGATTTAACCCTATCTGAAACACCTGAATGTCAAAAAGGGATGAGACTCGTGTTAGCTTTATGTCTATCAGAGGGTTTTGACACCTTTCCAACCTTGCTCTGTGCTGATGGGTGCAGTATGATAGATCGTAGAATGGTAAGGTTGTTTTAAGTCTGAAAAATATCTCAGGCATTCTCCCCATTCTATTTTCATTCTTCTTCTGAACTCATGTATCTCTCCAATTATGAATTACATTTAATGCGAATGTTGCTAACTGCTTTTTCTTTGAAGGATGTCCTTAGTTACCCTCAAGATAACCCATGATATAGTCAACAAATAAACTTTGTTAAGAAATTTTCATGAGTCACAGTAGTGTGATCATAATAACTTATTTCATAATTATGTTATAAATGTGATTGGATTACAAGTATTTCCTGACTCCTGAAATTTTATCAGTTTAGAATGTTTTCGTGTTAGCTTCCCTGATTATGGAATTTTTATGTAGATATTCACAACTTTATATATCATGCACACGAGATAGCCTAGGTGATTAAGCACTTACGGGATACTGTTCGCTATTCTATAGTACTGAAAACCAGTAGTGTTGTACGAACTAGTGCTGATCATACTTGTGCTGCCAAGCACTTAGGTTGTGTTCGGAATTTACTTTTAAACGCAATATATTATTACATTTTCTTACAGTGAGAACTTTGTAGCCGACTTTTCTTTCTTTTTTGGCTGGCCAGGTCTCCGTTTACTTATAGTAATCTAAATTGGAAATAAAACTTTGACAAATTTCCAAACTAATCTACTCACATCAGAAAAAAATCTAATTAAATTTACATTCTTTTTAAACCCCAGACTTCCAAAAGTAACAGTGCAAGTAAAGAGAGTTCCAGCTGCAAAACCTTGATCGACTGTAGTTGATGGTATAACCTATCTTTTCCAGTGATGCAAAGTCATCCAATAAATGAACAACCTTCAAGATTCGCTTCCAGGCTGATGGATTGAGCGAGATCCTTAATTGAATGTGCATAAGTAATGATATTAAGTCATGTTACTCAGAAGATGCAAAAGGACTGGTTACCTTTCCATTTGTCCGTAATGCTATTGTTCAGCGCTTGCGATCACAGTTAAAATCAGAAATGAGACACGTGAATCTGTTCAGAGTATGTGAATGAGTTCGAACAATGCGAAAACTAATAACAGGTTACCAACATAACAGAGGTAGCTATGGAATCTCACTACCGTCAGTTAAATAAGCACAAAATTAGATGAACTATATTGAACAGTCAAAAAGACTCAGAATAGACTTGTCATAAGTGTGTTTGCAACTGACTAGTCAAAATAAAAGCTGACAAAATTATGGAGTTTTTTTTCGTTATTCTTTCTGAGTTAGTATATGCGTAAGTACCGCCATAAGGCAACTCCTTCATCTGCTGATAGTAACTAATGTCCACTTTAAGATTACAAAATATCATCAAAATTTTTCTTATTGTCCTCCCCACCTATGAGGGATGCCAATAATGGGACTACCTGTAGATTTGGTAGTTAAACATTCATTCACATGTCTATGCAATGTATGCAGTAAGAATCATCTTGTTTTACGATAAAATTTCCATATCATAATGAACTTTTGAGGGCTACATGGAATATATATATATATATATGTATATATCATATATATATATATATATATATATATATATACTATATATATATATATAATATATATTTAATATATATATATAAATATATATATACATATATATATATATATATATAATACTTCTTTGGAACCTTAATAATGCCTCTCAACAATTGAGTTCTTCAAATGTTGCTTCTCCCTTTCTCTTTCTGCATGGTTTGTCTATGGTGAACATCCTTATTTGGGAAACTAGACAAATTGATTTAAGATTGATGTTTATAATTTAGCTAATCACATGTCATGAAATATCGAGAGTTTTGCCAAAGATAAAATGCTTGTATTTTCTATTACTATTCTGTTACTTTTTTGCTTCCCCACTTATGAGCTTCTTTTGTCTCTGAATTTTTACAGGGAGTTTACGGTTATCCAATTGAAATCCAAGCTCTCTTCTTTATGGCTCTGAGATGTGCTTTAGCAATGCTTAAACATGATACTGAAGGGAAGGATTTTATTGAGCGAATTGTGAAGCGTCTACATGCCTTAAGTTATCATATGCGAAGTTACTTTTGGTTAGACTTCCAACAGCTAAATGACATATACCGCTACAAAACAGAGGAGTACTCCCACACTGCAGTCAACAAATTTAATGTCATTCCTGATTCAATTCCGGACTGGGTGTTTGATTTTATGCCAATTCGTGGAGGTTACTTCATTGGAAATGTGAGTCCTGCACGAATGGACTTCCGGTGGTTTGCCCTAGGCAATTGTATTGCCATTTTATCTTCTCTTGCTACTCCAGAGCAATCTGCAGCTATAATGGATCTTATAGAGTCGCGCTGGGAAGAACTGGTCGGTGAAATGCCCTTGAAGATCGCTTATCCTGCAATAGATAGCCATGAATGGCGGATTGTGACTGGTTGCGACCCAAAAAATACCAGATGGAGCTACCATAATGGAGGGTCATGGCCAGGTTAGTCACTTGAAAACTTGTTACCTTTTATCACCTAGTATCATAAGTTTCTCATGACTACATACATGTTAACTAATCCGATGAAAAACGATTAAAGCGCAATGTTATAAGTGCATACAGCTAGCTTCTTCTGAGTCCTGATTATCAAATAGGTCCAAGAAATTCGCTTATGGAGAAGTTTACCGTCAACGATGGCAGTTATCCGTGTTAGGACTAAGTAACGCACCAGTAATTCATTTATGTATTAGATAACCTTGAAAGTACCTAGTGATTCTTTCTTGCTGTGATGGTGCATCGAGGGAAGACCAGATCTTAGATTGGTGCGCTAGTTCTCAAGTCTCCTTGTATTGCATTCATCTAAGAGTAGGCACAATTATTCTCAAGGTTCCTTGTATTGCGCTAGTCTAAAAGTAGGCAGCCGTTGGTGTACAATTAACACAGTGGACAAGCATCTCTAGATACTTTCTCTAGATTACCCAAGTCAACTGGTAGCCTCGTAGTAAGGTGGAGTTGGTATCGTGTATCTGTTGATATTTTATCAAGCAACAGTCTTAGATGTGTACATATTTGATGGAAAATATTCACCGAGCTGCACAAAAATATTGAGCACAAAACAGTTGCACTAAATCTTTTTCTGCCATTTCTGCAGTACTTCTGTGGCTGCTAACTGCAGCCTGCATCAAAACCGGCCGCCCCCAAATCGCCAGACGAGCAATCGAGCTCGCCGAGAGCCGACTACTAAAAGATGGGTGGCCCGAATATTACGACGGAAAACTAGGCCGGTACGTTGGCAAACAAGCAAGAAAATTCCAAACTTGGTCAATTGCAGGATATTTAGTAGCGAAAATGATGTTAGAAGACCCATCTCATCTAGGAATGATTTCCTTGGAAGAGGACAAGGCGATGAAGCCGGTTATTAGAAGATCGGCGTCTTTTTGAACCAGGTAGAAGAGAGAATTTGAGGGTAATCTAATCATTTAATTGTTTCTTCTTCTTTTGTCTAATTGGTAATGCTTCTTGTTAATCAGGCCTTTTGTATGTACAATTCGATATATATTATATAATCAGCAGATCCCATTTCCAAATAAATCCATCTTCGTAGTGTAAAAACCTGGAATCCAACCGTCTCTGTCTGTTTTATCGTTGGAACGGAATCTCCGCGGCCTTTTGTACGTACAATTCCATATATATATATTATGAATCAGCAGATCCCATTTCCAAATAAGTCAACCTTTGTGTAAAAATCTGATACTTGAGCCTGGAATCTGTCTCGTCTGTTTTATCATTGGTGCTGAGGGCGTGTTTGGCAAGCACCCTAAAAGTGGGCCGCGACTGTTTCTGGTGCAATTCTAAACTTGGACAAATTTTCAAAACCAACCCATTTAGAAATTTATTGTCAAACCTAAATTTATTGTCAAAAAAACGACCCCATTCAAACAAATTTGTAAAAACCGACCTGGTTTCAGCCTCAGCGCTGAAACCAAGTCGGTTTTTGAAAAAAAAATTCGAAACTTCACGGGAGTTGAACTCCCATGAAGTTTACCAGCTTTTAATTAAGCTGCTAAACTTCACAGGAGTTCAACTCCCGTAAAGTTTCACAATTCAAAAAATTTATTTTTGAACTAAGAAACTTCACGGGAGTTGAACTCCCGTGAAGTTTAGTAGATTAATTAAAAGCTGCTAAACTTCACGGGAGTTCAACTCCTGTGAAGTTTTAAATTTTTTTTTTTCAAAAACCGACCTGGTTTTAGCGCTGACGCTGAAACCAGGTCGGTTTTTGCAAATATCCTAAAAACGGGTCGTTTTTTGCAAATAAAAACTCAAATGGGTTGGTTTTGAAAATTTGTCCTTCTAAACTTAGGGGGGGTTATTCATTGGTGTAAAAAGTGGGATAATGGGGTAATTTTTGGAACACCACTTTTTGGTGTTCCCTCTCCTTTGGCCAAAGCCTCAAACTCGCCCTGCAAGCTGAAAATCCCGCATCCGTTTCGACACGGCATGTACTGGGTTGCAAGAGGCCTATGACAGAGAAAGGCCCAATCAACGCCGACAACGCTGCTGCTAAAACTTTGAAACAAGTCAAGAAAAACGCCGCTCGAAGATGGAGAAGATCCATCCGACGAGCACATCTCCGAGAAAATCAATCCTTGGTCCAACGCAAGGATTGCATTTCTGAAGCTCTACCCAAGCATTGCGTTCATACTCCAGAACGCCGTCTTCGTTCTCGAGGGCGTTCACCCGTTCCTCCGTCATCGTTCTCGAGCCTGAGCCAGCTCCGCCGTCGCCGTCCTCGAGGTCGCTCGCGCCGTTCTCGAGCTCGTTCGCCCGAGCCGCCGTCGCCGTTCTAGAGCGCCGGATCTGCTGTTGAGAGCGAACTAGCTTGAGCTCTACTGGTCATGGCTGCAACTCTCAACTCTCCGCCCTCGTTCGTCATCTCCTCCTCAGTTTGATGCTCTTCAACGCCCTCGGCGTCTTTCCTGCTAAGGATAAGTGCAGGTTGATTCTAATTTCCCTTTTTTCACAATTCTGTTCAAATTAGGGTTTTATTTTTGATTGCTGAGATCGATGTTCTCACAGTCGCTGTGGATTATGTGCTCATGTCAAGAATGCTTGTGCTTTCTTGGGAGATGGCATGTCCAGAATCGAGCTGACATTTTTCTTTTGATAATTGAAAATTTTAGTTTTTAATTTGTCTTTATTATTTTTCATATTAGTTATTATTGTTATAAATTGATAATATTAGGAATTGGAGCCGAGAGTACATGGAAGGGGAAGGGAAGCAAATTCTGATGAGATGTACTTCGGTGTGCATCAAGAGTTCGTTGTCACAATAATTTGATATAGCGCATTACATTATCATAATTATAAAAAGATGTCATACTAAAATTGTCCCACTCAAATTGTCCTATTACCCCATTTTACCCCACTTTATCCCACTCAATTATCTCATTAGGTAAAATTACCCCATTGGAACAATTTACCCCAAATTACACCAAATTACACCAACGAATAACCCCCCCTTAGCTAGTTTCCTTTAGGTCGGCGGGGTACGGAGCAAACCTAGTTTTATGGGCCGATTTCTGCGTTAAAAGAACTGGGCCATGTTTTGTCCGAGCACAATTGTTCTCAAAATGGGGGCTTAAGGCCGAACTCAGTCCCATTTTGAAGAAGTCCCAAACAGGCCCGAGCCTCAGCGGCGCAGGAAAATGATTCCTGTACAGTGAATACGGAGCAAGATCACAGGCACGTGGTTGGTTTGCAATTTCATTTGGTGGTTGGCTCGCTACGAAGGATCACCTGAGCTCAGGTTGCGTCATCTGAATACAACTTATCCAGGGTTCGAACGTACTTGGAAATGCGTATATGGTCAGCGCTTCTTTTTCCAGTTTCAAATCATTGTTCAATTGTATATCGGAGTCATGGGTTGATTATTTGGAGGGCTAAATAATAGAATTAGATAGGATATGCCTTTATCCTTGCGTGTATCCAAACTATAATCTCATGGAATCGTCCTTGATTAAAATTATTAACTTATAAAAGTCAAACGTTATCCAGTGCTTTGTGAGCAGGATCTAGGTCAAATTTATAGACGTAGGGTCATTCCAATGGATGCAGATATTAGAAAACAGAAAAGAATTACTTGTGATTGAAATTTCATGCGTTTAGAGGGATGACGTATGATGTTTAGAGGGATGATGCAAGTTAAAGTAGCTTTTTTCTTTTGGCAATAAAAATTTGGATATACTCAATAACGCAGAGACCAAAAGTTTTCTACTACCCCGATTTGTTACCCAACAAAAATAAGGCAAACTAGGTATACTCCCTTAACCAGAGGCTAGAGATCCAGTTAGTGGGTGGATCAATTCTAGCTTGGTTTAAGGGGCTCAAAATGACCTAAAACATCAGGGCCAGAATTGGCCCAGCTTTTCACAAACAGAAAATTGGTTAAAACTGGGCAACGTTTGAACATGACCTGGTTTTGGTGGGTTGCTAAACAGCCCCTCAGATTCAAATCAAGTTGTAATCTTTATTTTTATTAAAAAAAATTATATTTCCTTCCTCTACTTGGGCATGTTTGCCAACCAAAAACTAAATGGAAAATAGACCGAAAATTCAAGAGAGGCTACACTTTCCAATAATTATCCTATTTGAATGGAAAGTGATTGGAAAGTGAAAAGTGTCACACCAGCAGGAGATCGAGAGAAAAATATATTTTTAGATCTTTTATGTTTCATTTTAGTTTTATTTGTTCACTTTTTACTACTACTTTCCTTAATAACCAAATAGAACAAGAAGATATTAAGTTTAAATCATTTGCCACCTTTCTTTCTCTCATTTTACTTTCTAACATCTAAATAAGATTTTTGAAAATAGAAAGTAATAAGAAAGTACCTTCTTGTAGAAGTACTCTCTCCTTTTTTAACTTTCTATTTGCCAAACATGTGGTGATAGAGAGTAATGTAAGGAAAAAGGTAAATATTTCATCCATATCCAAACTCATCTATTAAATTCCTTCATCAACTACTTTATTAATAAAAGCAGAAGGATGAAATATGTAAATATTAACAGTAAATCTGATATGTACCAATGACAAAATTTTCCTTTTTTTTAAAAGTACCCACAAAAATATTCCCTAAAAAAACTCTGGTGCCTAACAGAGTTATTATTAGGCAATTTCAACTCAGCGAATTATTTTTTTGGGGTTTGCTTCAGTACTCCAAAGATACTATTTATTTATTTATTTATTGTAAAAGGGCAAAACAAGTATTTAAGATCTTCAAATTCTAAAAGAACTCCAAAAACTGAATATATTACCGTCGCCGTCATCTCCCGCTACGCCCTCCGCGTGGTGACGACAGCGTTGAGTGCCAAATCAAAATCACACCTCTTCCGTTTCGTTCATCATAGCTTCTCATGATAACCGCAACAATTGCAAAGAAAATTTGATCCTCTTCTAAAATTCAAATGCGCCTTTTCTAACTGCTCCTTTCTTTTTTTTTTTTTTAAAAATCAATCAATCGATTTTCCTTCCGTGAGGTCGAAGTTGGGCTGTTTCTCTATGGCCTGTTTGGATGGAGGGTAAGAAGGGGAAGGGAAGGGAAATTTTATTTTAACTTTGTTTGAGAGTTTCATTTAGGAAGGTAGAGGAGGAGAATGAAGGAGAAATTTAGCCAAAATTCGTAAACTCCAAATTAGGGCGTAATGGAGGGAAAGGGAAGGAAAGGGAATTTTTTTTTCTCTTCCTTCCTCTTCCTTCCCTTCCCTAAGTAAACTCCCAAACACACCACTAGAATCAACTGTGAAAAGTTTATGCATGCATAGGGGCTTAGAGCCAGTTTCGTGACGGCGCGAGGGTATGCAATGCCACTGGCGTAGCTAACGGTGAAGTAGAGGCATTTGTGGCGTTAGTGGTGTTTTCGTCGAATAAGATGAGGGAGAAGGAGGGGCCTCATATCTGGTGGAGGAACAAGCGCCGCAACATCTTCTGTTAAAAGGTAAAAGAGGACGCAGCTGCAGGCGGATTCTTTGAGAACGGAGGAGTTTTCTTCTTTTTGTTGATTTGCTATGTGTTGTTTTCTATTTTTTTTTAAATTTATATTTTGTTAGATATAAATAAAATAAAATAAAGTTATAGCATGTAAAATCCAAAATAAAAGAAATAAGAAAGTCTGGTCTGAACAGGAGCAGTCGTGTAATCACTGCCCTAGAAGATTAAGGACCAGCCTATCGCCCTGACGCAAATGATCATCTCTCCCCTAGCGGTAAAACCACTCGAAAGCTGTCGGCCTTTGTACTCGGGCGAGGGAACAGAGCTTCTGCTCAGATGAAGAAAGTTGCCCAAAAAGTAAAACCAAAATATATAGAAGAAAATAATATGCAGAAGAGAGAAGAGAAACAAGAGAATTGCTCTATATTCCGAATAAGCGAAAGGCTGTATATATATGCTTTTAGATAGCCGTTACAAACCCCTCAATAACTTCGGTAACGTTAGCCAACACTTGCCATAATGTCGACCGTTACGTAATGAACCCGCAACCGTTACACACGTGAAAAACGTGCAAAATAAAGCCAGAGAAAACAAAAAACGT